GACCCCGCACAACATGATCTACTCGACCACCATTTTGGTAACCGCCAAAAGAAAAAACAGAGGAAAAAAAAAACGGTAACCTGGTTGCCGAGTTCACGAAGTGAATTGGCTTGTTGTACAACGTCGTTGCCAAGCGACGAAAACCCAACCCCGATGGCAAACACCGAGGGGGGGCGAGGGAAGGACAATAATAGTGCATGATCGCACATCCAAACTCATATATAGATACAATATGTTGGCTTACTACTGTGTGTTCGAAGCCCGAGATAAGATCAAAAACAGCACACAACATATGCGTCTCACGTTCGGTGGAGGACTACAATATCAGCTCGACGATCCAGAACAATCACGCGGAAGCACACACACACACACACACACACACACACACACCGAACGCCCCCCCCGGTCATGTCGACGTTTCTTTTGGCGCATTGAATCTCCTCCAACCATTCGGCAGTCTTTTGACAATACAAATTCCAAGGCGTGAATAAGCGGCACCATGCCCGCACACTCACCGTTGTTACTTCGTTGAGGTCGCTGAGCTCGATGTCCCTGGAGCCGCCGCGGGGGCGTAGGATCTGAGATGCGGGCAAGTCCAATCGTTACGAACGGGAGGGAGACGGCCGCCGCGGTAGCCCACGCAGTCAAGGCAGGGTCAACGGAGTGCTCGTAATCGGACAGGCATGCACTTGTTCACGACAGGGTATCGAAGGGAACATATTCGTGGAGCACCTGTGTCGTCGAGCCTATGAGTGAAACAGTCCGCGAAATACGAGAGAACGAAGCCCACCCCGCAAAATCCCTTTCCACCGTTCATATTTCTGTGTTTTTCTTGTTTTTAGCAGGATAGCGTATATGCAGCTTGACCGGAAGCAAAAGAACATCAATCAGCCATCAAACAATATTTGAATAAATTTCGCCGCAAGGTTTTGCGATCATACAGAGTTTTTCGACCCAACAGAAAACTGCGTGTCACGTCTCCTGTGTCCATGCTAAATGGTTTTTCGAAGAAAAACACTTCGTATGCAAATGTGGGTTCCACTCCGTCACACCAAACTCTACACCCGAAACTGTACGACGTCGGGTGGCAACCCTGGTAACCACATCACAATTCTTGCTCCTAGAGTCCCCCGACCCGAACGTGCAGTCGGTTGGGGAAAACAACACTATGTGCATATCACTTCCTGTCATGGAAGCAAAAGCCGCACCACTACCGCTCTAGTCTACTTTACCTTGTAGCACCACAAGTGCAGCTTCACGCACAAGTCCCCCACAAGCCCGCTCATCCGGCCATCCGGCTGGACGCCGAAGCCTTGATTTTCGCTGCTACGGCCACGGCAAACGCCGGAGGTGGCAGCAATATTTCGTGCTTGTTGAGCTCCCCACAGGATGGGCATGGCCGGGGGACTCATTCGCCTGGTCATGGGCGCCATCTGTGTGAATCCACCGTGGAAGCAGAATGCAAACAATACAGGGTGGTGCTTCCGGTAAATTGACGCTGGACAATACCCCAGAGCCGGAATTATTCAGTGTTTACCGCTGCTAACACTAGTATGCTTTCACTGTATGCTTTCACTGTGCATCCCACAATCCACGACTAGCCGTGTACTTAGACAAGCACAGACTTCTTCGGATTTGCTGCGTGTTCTTGGCTTCAACGGACAGGACAACTGCGGCACTGGAAAGAGACACACAAAATCTTTCCCTAACCGAACCGCGGGCACCTTGGACTCCCCCAACGCTACACGCGCGACCAAAGGAGTGACACCATCCAGCCGTCTACGTGTAGCCCTTCAAGCCCAATGCCTGCCTTTATCAGCCCCAATGTGATGCGCGCCATGACATCCCGTTGCGGGTCCCAGTCTTGACCCAGGAAGATCTTGAGGACCGCCTTGCACGTATCCTCCATCTGAACAGGACGTGAGGGGTGGAGAGAGGGCGGCGCGCGTGTACAGATAGGTGTTCGTGCATGGCAGTGGGAGGGTTACACGCGGACAGAATCCCGCATCCCTAACGTACTCAAGAAAGAGGTACTGCAGTGTGTCGCGTTGTAAGACCACAACCCCGACAGCAACGTCAGCAATGCAGGATGTGGCGCAAAATCACCTCAGGGGTCAAAGTCAGCAGCCCTAGGACGGCCCGCTTTCGGGCATACCCGACTCGAACCAGCTCATCTACCGCCGCCTGTGCCCGCCCCCCGCCCCCGTCCGCCTGTCGTTCCTGCTCGACGCCCAGATCCTTGACCGTAGGAATGTCGGGCGTCACCTCCTGCCCCCAAACCTTATCCGCCACTCCAACGTCGAACTCCGACGGGGATATCGAGTATGCGCGTAGGCTCCCCCCTCCTTCGGAGAGCGCCTCGAGAAGCCAGCGATCACAGCAAACGGTGACGAAGATATTTAAAGGCTGACTAAGGTCCCTTGTCGATGGGCTAGACAGAAACAACGTGTCAATAGACGACATACAGGATCCAGCAGTGGGAGCACAGGCATGCTTTGTGTATGTCGGGGGTTGTTAGGAAGGACAAGACAGAACAGCGTTGTGTCGAGGCTGTTCGAAAGGGGCTTTGTGGAAAATAGCACCTCGCTTAAGAATGCTGGCGAACAGGACCATCGCCTGCCAAGTAAAGAAGAATGCTGCAAACGCCCCATACGAGGTCAATCGCGTGAACACGTGATAGCACGGCGAGCGACAGAAAAACAACAAAAATAAACAGCTATCTCTTCTATCGGTACTCTTGTGCTCGAAGATGTTACCGCACAGAGACACAACATGGAACAACATACGCTTGAACATATCATACATGCATGAACGTATGCGTACTTTCTTCGCCATGCAACGGTTGCCAGGGAGACAAAGCACAAGGAACCACACCAAACCATCTGGGGGAACCCTCCCAGGGAGTTACGTCGATGGACGGGTTACCTCCATCACGTCTTCTGGCCTTGGGCACCAGCCAATCAGAGGGCACGAGAGAAGCGACAACGCCGCAGCTTCCCCTCCGTTGAGTCCGATCTGCGAGGCGGACAGTGGGCAGATCTCTGGTTGGACACTCTGGGTGAAGAACGGTCCGAGGATGGTGTCGTGGGAAGTCATGGGTGACAAGGTTCCAATCCATGTGCCGCAACACTTCAAAAATCTCATAGCCGGGACATTTGGATTTAGCAGGAAGAAATGTGCAAACACACGTGGCAAACAGAAAATGATGTGCGCATTGGCGTTACAGTTGAGTCCCTGTTTAGTGCCGGTTGAATAGGGCCGGTTGCCGGAATAGTGCGTGTTTTCGGCTCGCACACACTGGAATATCAAGTCGTGCTGTGATTTGAATAGTGCCGGTGCCCGGGATAGTGCCGGTGAAATTTTGGCGCACACCCCGACACTAATCAGGGACCTCTACTGTAGTTGAAAAGAGAAGGGAAAGGGTCGAGGCAAACTGAAGTCCTCCTTCTCCTTAAAGCTTGCGAAGGTTACAAATCCGTGCTGACAGCAATCAAAAACAAAGATACACAACTCATCGCGGGGAGTGGGGGGCAGGGGAGGGGCGAAGGATGGGGTACACAGAGCAGAGATCAAAGGATCGCTTAGACGCCCAGCTCATGCGTTTGCATGAATGAGTGCAGAAAATCAGGTGAACCTTCGATCCTTCGTGCATACCTCGCCCTTATGGGGCACTTGCGCATAGCTGGAGACCCTCTGCTGCTGCCCGCCGGAGCCCCGGCCGAACATCATGTGCGCCAGCAACCAAGCGGCACCCGGGGACAATTCGGTTTCGAACTTTTCCTTAGTTCTGCCGGCGGCCCCGTGAATGTCGGCCGCAGTGCCCGCGCTGCTGCTGTTGTCAAAAGCGCTGTTGCTGCTGTTACCGTTGTCGTTGCTAACGCCGCTATTGTTGCCACTGCTGTTGCTCCTAATGTTACTTTTGCTGCCGTTGTTGTTGCTCTGAAGCGCCGACGTAGCGGCCGACGAAGACGCCTGGTCCGGCGCCAACAAGGCCTTCGGAAGGACAGGGCGATTACTTTCGGGCAGGACTCCTGGGGAAAACTCTCGCATCCAAGCCAGCAGGGTGGCTAGCATCAGCAGCGGGTTGCACACTTTGGGCTTGGCCTTGGTTTGGATGAGGGATGTCGTGCGTTTGAAGCCTTTGCTGTCGGTCCAAGTTAGTGGCACTGTGATCCTCGGGGGTGACAGCGAAAGGAGGGTGGAGCGAGACGAACAGTCAGAGAGAATGAATCGAGAGCACAGATATGCTACCACTCTATCCTTCATATGACACGCGATAGGGTTTTGGCATGACAAAAGACAAGGTATCAACACCGAAAAGAAGTTTCCACGTGCATGTATATCCCGCTGTTCTTAAATGCGCCGAAAAAACCATGAGACGCAACCTGCCAAGAGGATCAAACCCTTTCTCCTACATGTGCAACGGCGCCGCAAGATAGACAGTCCACGAGGGGAGTACATTACAACGACCCCAAACGTTAGGTACAACGAAACACTGATCCGCTCTCGCCCTAAGTTCCAAAAACAAACCCTGTACGCATGGTATTCTCCCCGAGGACTGCACACCAGCAGTACCGACTCACCTGACGTTCCGGATCCCGCGGCCATCGCTTGCCGCCTCTCCCTGGTGGCCGGTAGAAGTAGGACTCGGTCGCCGAACTCGCCCACTGTACCGACAATGACGAAAGGCCGCTGCTGCTGCTCCTGCTGTCGGAGCCACCTCTGATACTCAAGCGAACATCCCCGGCTAGGGAGAACTTGAGTGGAGGCGGTGGCCGCCGCTTCACCTCCCGCCGGTTGCAAATGCAACTTATATGCAACAACAGGAGGAAGTGCTTGCTTGATCTGCTGCCGCTGTTGCCGCGTGAGTTTGCCCCATTCTCGTCGCTGGACACTAACCACAGAAGCAGGTTCACGAGGTGAAACCCGCGGCTGTCGATGCGTGTACTGATGGTGAATTTCCTTGCATGCTGGGAGTGCCTTCGCCGAAGTGATCGTGGTCGTTCTAACCGTTGTCGCTGTATCGTCTGTCAAGCCCCCTATTGACGGGGACGACTCCTTTGCGGGAGACGTGCCTGTTCGTGAACGAAGACGCAAGAACTTTTGTTCCCCCACCTTCCACGAATTTGATAAAAAAAAGTCTAACACCGATCGTGTAATCAACTCAAGCGTGCTTGTTGTCCTTCCCTCATACGCTCGATTCCTGTACGTGACTCACATCGTGTTTCATGTTAGATTTCTTGCGCAACTTGAAAAAACGCACTTCATATGTCGAATTCATACATTGGGATTTCTTGCCACCCGGCGGTTGTAGCAACATTGACAGCTTCTCTCCAAGAACAAAAACCATGACGTCCCTTCGTACATTCAAACATGCGAGCCTCCAACGTATCTATCTTGTCCGGCACCATTTGAACAACCGCGGCTACGGCTGCGGCAGAACAACGCAACATTGAGGAGGTTAAACAGCGGCATGGCACTACCATTTCAATCACCATCGACGCCAGCACCAAAATCAACAAAACTCGCAGCAGCGCTCACCCAGTTTCGCCGTTGACCGCAAGGACCTCGCTTGTCCGTCCGTCCGGTCGGCCACCACGTAATCGCCGCCGCAGCAGCACCGACGCTTGGTCGCTACCGCTGCCGATAGCTGTCCGTCCTCGCTGCAAGCCCGTCCCGCCACCTCTGCCCTGGCACGCGAAAGGGAAAAGCATGGTGTCAATTCCTTGTGGCTGCTGGCCGCTTTTTCTTGATTCCCTGCTGCTGCTGATGATGATGGTGCTGCTGACGCTGCTGCTACTGCTGCTGCTGCTGCTGCTGCTGCTGCTGTTGATGCCGTCGGCAGTGTTCGGAGACTCTTCCTGACACACGGTCGTGCACGGGAGGAAGTTGCGTCGGCTTGTGAAGCGGGCCACTACGAGGTGCCAAACGCTGCCGAAACAGACGGCTGTAGGCATTCGTGTGAGTGCCACCTCCGCCCACATCATGTCAATGGCACGCCGGCTTGAAGACAGGGCTAACGTTACCTGTAATGCGACATTGCTCTGTGAGCCCTATTAACGTTACGCGGACCTCAAACCTCCCATCACTTCGAGGATCACACCACCTGTGAAGGCTTCAGCAATGTACGTAGGAACACCTGAAAAATCAGTTGTAGAACGTTCAGCAGCCGTGAAAGCAGGCACCAACAACATGGCGCAGCAGCGCGAGTCCGCCATAAACCTTACAACTAGACAAACGCCCGACACAGCAATAACTCCACACCTGTTTCTCTTGTTGCTGCCGCCAGGAACCCCCTTCCTTCGGGAACCCTCTCTGGCACATCGCTGCTCCACCTCTCTTCGCGCAATCTCCTTAGCGGTTCTCTCGGCAAACTCGAGCTCGACTTGGGCCGTAAGGGAGGACAGCCACCGAAACACCTCCCGCGAGCGCTCATCATTCCTCGCCACACGCTCCCGTTTAGCCTGGATGTGGCTGCATCGCACCCACCAGTCGCAGCAGCCTTCGGCGCTCGGTCTTGACCGTGACATTTGTCGGTGTTGGTCCATAGACCGCCTTGCCCGCCCTATTTGGTTCGATGTACGTACCTCAAACTGCTTCAGACGAGACGTTTCCAAAACATGATTTGGAGGAGACGAAATTGTCATGTACGAGATGACGTACAGCAAATTACGTATGATATCACCACTGCGGATTGATTTTCAAATCTCGATCGCTCTGCAAAAATATTGATGGCGCCGACATCTACGCGACGTTAGATTCATCTAGTCAAGGACTTCGTCAAGAAAATGCCTTCGTCGCGGCGTAGTTGAGCTATCGACGTGATCAATGCCTTACACGGAAAGTCTGCTGTGGGGGCATCTCACAATCCCTTTCAAGAGCGAGGACTATCGCGCTGTGTGTGATTTCATACTGCGCCTGCTGGTGTTTTAGTTGAGATTGCTACGATACGCAAGCAACGCACGGCGGCACAGGAAGGAAAACTGCTGGTGCCCATTCGCGAACTTGCATCGGCAAGGGTCCACGTCGGTACCGGTTTTTAGGGGGATACAGGCGCGGCGGTATTTCAATGTGGTGGTACTTTTTTGGCGGATCCCGGTACTTCGTTTTCCGGCGGTACCGACTTTGGCGGTTCCCGGTACTGCCAAATATGGCGGTATTTTTCTGGCGGTACTGATATATGGCGGTACTGCCTTCGGCGGTTACCGGTACTGCCAAATATGGAGGTATTTTTCTGGCGGTGCTGAAATATGGCAGTACCGCCTTCCGCGGTTCCCGGTACTGCCAAAACATGGCGGTATTTTTCTTGCCGTACTGAAATATGGCGATACTACCTTATTCGGTTCCGCTCCCACCAAAACATGGCGGTTTTTACTTGGCGGTATTGAAACATGGCGGTATCGCCTTCAGATGTCGCGGGGAGACCAAAATATCAAATATTCAAATATCAAAATATAGCGATCAAGACTACATTCGGTGTGCCCCGTCAACCGGCGAACCGCTTTTCTCTCTTTGCGGTGTGGGTCTGTTGTAATGTGCCGTTGAGAGCGTATAGTCCCCCTATGGTTTCGTGATTTCACGAGTCTATGCATAGCATCGTCAACTTAATAATAACAAGCAGCCTCACGGAAAACGAAGGCAACGAAAATAATAGAGAAAACGCAAACAAAGAGGTGTGCTGAAATGCGATCCGTCGAATGCCACGGAGAAAAGAAGCATAGATTACTATTGTAGAACGGAATCAAATTGAAGTAAACACTTCAGATGGCCATTCGTGCGTGGGGAGGAGCAGGCACCCATCACAGCAAGCACCCATCACGGCAGCACGGGAAAGATAAAAAGGGGTTCCACCGAAAAGGAACATGACAGAACCAAAAAGAAGAAAAGAAGAAAAAACTGTCACGAATATGACCCAACGAATCCATCTCATCTAAGAAAAGAGTCTAAGATAGACTAGTTAGTGTTATTAATTCATCGTATGTAGAAAGAACGAGAAGAAAAAGAAGAAAAAGAGAAAGAGAAGCGCAGGACGCCCAGCGAGATTTAAACCTCTGTCCTTCGGAATCTGCCCCTCTGGTCTCCCCGATGCACCACCTGACACGAGCACCCTCACGGCAGATATTTTGCTTTTTTTGTTTGTTTGTTTTTCTCCCATCATTGGACTCTGTCGTCTGCCCCACTGGCCCCTATCCTCCACTTCTACTAGCTAGACGACCCAACCGGGGTCACATAGGAGGGGGGGGTTGGACCCCCTCCTGCGGTTCATGCCTGAGGTATTTTTATCGCGAGAAGGGTACAGCAATCCCTTCCCTCGCGACTTACGAAGTCGATTATGGTTTACTAACAGATATGTGTCACGGCGGTTCCACTATGCCGGTACTGCAGTACGGCGGTACTATTTTGGCGGTGCTGTACGGCGGTACTAATTTGGCGGTACTTTATGGTGGTTCTTTTTAGGCGGTTCCTGGTTCTTCGTTCTTTTGGCGGTACTTTCTAGGCGGTAACGCAATATGGCAGTACTTTTTAGGCGGGAGGCGCTTTTTCGTTTTTCGGCGGTCCCGCCTTCGGCGGTTCCCGGTACCACCGAAATGTGGCGGTAATTACCGCCAGTACCGGGACCGCCTACCACGGCGGAAAAAAAAAACCGGGAATATTCCCGACGTGGACCCTACAAAATAGACTTGGGTGGAGAGATATCCTGATCGGCGTACGTAAAGCATACAACGTGCTGCCAATACGGTACACCAGTAGTAGCAGTTATCGGCCCCAAAACCTACTCCTAGCAGTATATTGCCATCAGTCCAAGCGAAACGGGTGGTTATTTGCCCATATGATCCGCGCAAGCACCAACATAGTCAGTAGCACGCACGGCTTGGTGTTCCTCAACATGCGACGATGGTATGCCAAGTTCCGCGAATTCGCTTGTTCAATTCCAAGATTCAAAACGTTGATACTGGCAACGGTTGCGCACTTGTCACTATCGCTACCAACCTCAACACAACAAAGCAAGCACTACAACGACCGAACTTACGTGAAGAAGTTGGCCGACGTTTATCCTCGGGCCAGTGCCAGCAGCAGCAGAGCAAGATAAGTGGGACAGCGGGAGAAGGGCAGCGCAATTGGGCAGCAGCAACCGAAGGGGGCACGCGAGTGGCGCCCAAAACGAGAGTGAGGTAGGGTGGTATTTACGGGAGACGCGGAATGTCTCGATCCTGCATTGATGGCAGCACCCGAAGAGGAGGGAGGCTGGCTGCAGGTTGCCTCATCTACATATAGATACCTTCGTAGCACGTCTCCAGTATATGCAAACCATCGGGAAATCGTACAGAGTCTCATTCCCGAACAGCAAGCAGCAGCAAGAACCGAGTGACTACAACCGCCGCTGCTACTACTGCTGTCAAGAAGAGTGCAAAACAACACAACACGGGAAGCCCCAGACCTGCCTTTTTAACCCTCCTAGTACCCAGTCCCTCCGCAAAAAAAAAATGCCGAAATTTTTTTTGTCAGCCATTGGTCGAGGGGTTACAGTCCCTCCAAAGAACCTGAGCTCCTTGCCAGACAAAGGGTGACTTGGCTTCAGTATGGTAGCCCCCGTCCCCCACGGATAACTGCCATCGGATACCATCACGCCCAACAACCACCCTTCAACTGTATATATCCGTTTGTTCACTTGCCGGACTCTCGTCCATTTCCTCTGGAGACATCCATTGCGCGGTCCCCACAGCCCCTCGTTTCGATCTGCTTGAGGATTCCGTCCTGATTTTGGACAGCCCGAAGCCCCAAAGCTTCAGGTGACCATTGGCAAACATGAGCACGTTCTCAGACAACAGGTCGCGATTCAAATACTCTTCATGTGCAAAAACGACATGCCTCGGGCAATGAAACGCGTCCCCAAAACACGTGGAGACACTTTTCATACTGAAGCCAAGTCAGCAATTTTTTCCAGTACTAGACTATAGGCCATGTACAGCAGTTTTGCGAACTGGGGGGCACGCGGGTTGGGAGATGTGTACAGCAAGTCAGAGGCCCAGGAGAGGCATCACACAGCATACACAGCGTACCACCTCAGCCAAGCATAATAGACCAAGGCATGATAGACCAAGGGTTCTCACGTACGTTGCATCCAGCGGAGCCCAGGTTGACTACAATGCGGTAAACAGGCCTTTGAGTGCTGTGTCCCAAAGTGTCCCCAAATCGTCCCCAAAAAGGCTTCCAGTTCTAGAAGGGTTCAAAAGGGCTTATGTTGCAATCAGTATCGATGTCTGAAGGTATAGTCTAATGAGCAGATATCGGTACCGATTGTACTGGCGAAGACAACAACAGCGCCAACTTCAATTTTTTTTGTCACGGAGCGAGTGTGTTTTCATGGGCCGGCAATAGCGCCCACAGGGTGGTCTCGTTGGAATCCTCGAAACCTCCTAGAGGTCAGGCCAGCGGTTCGAATCCCGGCGTACGCGAGCTTTGCTTGTAAGGTGAGTTTTCCTCTCGCTTCCGCTCCTGGCCTAGTGGATAGAGTGGATGGCGCTAGGTCTTGCGTACACAGAGGGGAGAGAGTGCTGAACTCTTCTCGCATAAAAAATCGAAGGCAAAGTACCGCAGTTGGGGAGGGTAGAGAGGGGCTCTTCTGTGTGGCTAAAGTGGTAATTTTCAAGGACCCGATTTTGGTTGTCCCTCCATAACTTTTGACTGAGAGCGAGTAAAAGAAAAAGAAAAACAGCTTCCGAACGCCCGCGGCAAGGCGCAAAAGAGTAGCGAGTCGCCAAAAAAAAAAAGGAAAAATAGAGGAAAAAAAGAAAAAAAGATGCTCGCGGCGGGTCTCGAACCCACGAAATTGGCCCTAGAGCAACTTTTCCCCCATATATGTTGCTAATCCTTTTTTGTTTTTTCGCACCAAACCACCCACACGTGCACAGGAACGCCCTCAAACACTATGCAAATGCCTCTGCCGCACCTACAGCGTACGTACATCACAAAAATTGGCCGTTTTCAACAAAAATGTTCCATTTTTGTACAACATTCCCACCAGAAACACGGAAAAAATCTGAACAAATACAGCTCAATGAACAAGAATGCGCCATCGACTCTACGGCCTCCATTCCTTCGGGGTCGGGCGCCTGTGCGACTTGTACTTCTTGTACGTCTTCTTGCCCTCAGGCCCTTGCACACGCGTCTCGCGGTACATGAGGGCGTGTGTGTACGCCTTCTTGCAGTAGCCCTGGACTACCGAAACAGCCTGTCTATCCTCCTCTGGTCTAACACTCAGCGGCACGTTCTTGCGCAAGCATTCCAACGAATATTTGCAGCTCTTTCGAGTCCAGTCCTTCATTTGGCCCGAAACACGCTCGATGGGGTTACACTCGCAGTGGTACTTAGGAAGCATGAGACAGGCCCCAACGTGGCGCTGCATCAACAGCGCCAGACTAGAATCAACTTCCTTGAAGTCCTTCTGCGTTCCCAAAACGTGCTCCATGCTCTTGCTGAGGTCCCGCTTTTCGCCCGAGCCCCCCGTCTTACTCATGCCTTTGACCAGGAGCCCCGTCTCCCACAAAATCTGCCGCAAATCTTTCAACTTTCCGACATATTGCGCCGGCTTGAGATGCGGGGAGTGGAAGGGGGGATCGTCCCCCCTCCGAAACACCAAGTGCTGTACCGTACCGGCTGGGAGGTTCGGGGTATCTTCGAGGATGGTCACGGGGTCCATCGGCGCAAGCTCTTCTCCGTTTCTCACACCACCGACACCCAAGTTCATTCTCTTCACCGACGGTGCGCCGACCTCCATGCAGTCATGACAGGACGACCAGTCGAACAGGCCTACAGGCTTGTGCTCAGGGTAGAGAACTGTGAACATGTCGAGCACGTCTGACATGTGGTCCAGCATCCTGAGCCCGGTCCAGTATCCCTCCTTGTTCTTGCCGTACTCGAAGAGGTGGTAGGACCAGTACTGTCCATGCTCGTCTTCATGAAGCATGTCGATGGGGCGGAACTTCTCCACCTTCACGTTTTCCCCCCGTCGCTTCGCGGCAGCTGAGGCGGCGCATCGTTTCCTGCGGTTGCGCTCCGCGTCCTGGATCTGTGCCCGCGACGCCGAGAAGAAGCCAACGTTGCGGATTATCGTCCCCGACACCATGATCCCCTGGCCTTGTGACTTCTTCACGGGCACATGCTGGCCGTCCCGATACCACGCGCGCCTCTGGTCGTCGTTGGCTGCAAATACAAACAAGAAACCGACAATTTAGGGGCGGCAGATGTGGCGCTGTCAACATGTGTGATTAAATTTAAAGTCCCACAATTGAATTGCGAGCAAGATTACTGTTCGCGCCCGGAATTTACACCTAAATTATCGAACCCGCTTTGCTCCGTTTAAAACTAACCTCGAAATATGCTCTCGTCCTGGTAGAGAAGCATGGCCCGCCTCCCGTCAGGGTAGGTTTTCTTGCTCTGCACTCTGGCTTGCAGGTCTTCGGGCAAGTCTGCCAGCGCAGACTCGAGATCATCGACACAAACCCAGACACCACCATCCGGCAAGCGCTCGGTCTCCTCCACCGTCTCGACGTCAACACCCCAGACGATCGCTTCATCCTTGCCCATCGGAATCCATACCTCCATGTAGTCGCGGGTGTCGAACAGCGCCGGGAGGAACTCGTCGTGCCGGTATTCAAGGGTCTTCTTGTCGTCGTGGCCATCGAAGTACAGCCCCTTTTTGCCGTCGTGGTATTCGCATCCCATCTTCTTCAGCCACTCCGTTGCCGTAGAAAGGGAGATTTGGCGCTTTGGCGGCTCGTTCTCCTTCACTTCCACCAGCTTTACTCTCAATCCATGGAAAGCGTTGATGCCGTCCTTTTCCTGCTCCTCCAGCATCGGCATGATGGTGCTGTTCACCCACTTGCGGAAATCCTCCGCCGTTTTATTGGCTTGCCCACTGAGTATCCCGCAGTTCTCGAGCACCCAGCCTTTCGCGAGCTTGAAGACGCCTTCGTCGAGCTCCAGCAAAAACCTGCGCTTGAAGCGACCTGTGTCAGGTTTTTTTATGCGTCCGTGGGCGATGAAATCCCGCTCCCACTGCTGTACTGTTTGAACGGTTCTCCGTCCAACCTCTGCTGCGATGGCCAGTGCATCCTTCCGGTCGAAGCCGTCGGCCTGCTGGGTGTACAACTGGATCAATGTCATGGCCACTTGCACCGTGTGCGCCAGCTGAAAGTTGGACAAACAGCTGTCTTCCGTACTTGTATCCTGCGCGAAGGGGGAGTGTCGAGGGTGGCAATAAACCTTTAACTTTCAGTGGCCAATTTGTTTGACAGCAGCATTTCAAGTGTAATTTTTCAAGGTTGAGTGCAGGCAAATTAATTTGCAGAGCGGGTGCGAAGTACGTGCAGGTTGGTCAAACTCCGACGGCGGAGGTTGCAGATTGGTGCCGCCCGAGAAACCCCGCCACGATAAATTAATAATAATGTCGTGAGATGAATTTACAGCAGTGTAGATTATTACAGACCTCAGAGCCCCCAGGTTCGAGCACGGCATGCGTGAAGAAAAAAGAGGATCACACTTAATTTAGACTGTGTAGACTACTGCCCTCACATCGTTCATCTCCGCGGCTGCGCTGATCGTCTTCGCCACATCACTCACAACGCCGTCGAGGAGCTCGATGCTCTCAGCGCGAAACTCGTCCGCCGCTGCCGCCAGCACCCGAGCTTTCATCTCCGCCCCTTTCGCACGCCTAATCTTCTTTGCAGCTTGAGATGTGCTGTACGTGCCCTTGTTCAGGTATCTCCTCTTCGCCTCTTCGGCCCACTCGGGTTCGAACTCTATCCACGCCCGCACGACTTCTTCCAGACTGCTTGCAGAGAGGTTGAATGCCCCAGGAACGGCCTCCTCTAGTTCCTGCCGAAGTGTCAACGCACGCATCCGCCGGGCCGCCCTCCCCAACTTTCCAAAGGGCCGCCCACTGTAGTCCCGTTGTCCACCCCAATTTGGATCTCGCGATCTTTGCGCGCCTGCGAGACGGGGTTCTTGTAGTGAACCAACGGCTGGCGCTGCGGCTCGAACTGCGGGTGCTGTTGAATCCCGCGGTGGTGCTCTCTGCACCGGGGCGTACGCTGAGTTCTTGAGTTGAATTGCATCCCAGTCAGCAGTAGTCACCTCGTCTATGATGATTCCCTCCGCGACGGCGTCGCGGCCGCGTGGCTTCCCAGACGTGATCCAGCGGCTCCGCCATTTCAACTCAGTATTGTTGGCTCGCGACCTTGAGTGCAGCACTAACCGATACTTTCGTGGCTTCTGTCTCTCGATGCTGAGCTTGTCGCGCAGCGTGTATCCGTCGGGAACCAGCTGCTGCAGGCAGGAGACCCTCTCTTGGTCGAGTTCCATTTGGTTGCCGGTCTTCACAACAACATGTGTACACCTACCGGCGGCTGTGTGCGACGCGGCCCAAGCGGTGGTTCGGCCGCGATTTTTTTGAAATTTGAAACTTGGTTTATTTCTGTCTAGGGCCTGGCAAAAAAGAGTTCTGAACCAGGTGATTTAGAACCAGTTTGTTTCAAGGATTCCAAAAATATACTTACTCCTTTTTGGAGTGAAGGCAAGGGAAAAAAAATCAACCTTGCGGGGCGTTCCATGGCTACTGCGTTACGTGCTACACACAAGCGCATGACGGATCGCGCCAGTCCTACCAAAAGGTAGCTCCCACACCCTGTCGCAGCCCGCTCACAGGAAGCGTGGGCTATTCGGGCCACGTGCGTACTTCGTCACGAAGGTAGGGGGTCCGTGCCAGAAGGGAAACACACAAATGTTTCATTGGTCCGCGGGGAAGAGCGCGGTCGAACACAGCACATGAAACACAGAACACCGACTACGGCCACCTGGAGAAACAGCATTGAGCCTACTGCTTGTAAACCCATACACGCAAAAACGCCCAATCGAAAGCATACGTCCGGATGTAAACTGCCCAAAGCGAACACAGGCAGCAGCGCCCATCTGTACTGAAAGTCACTTCGAAGCATCGGTATCCGCCACACACGGGGAGCAAAAAAGGGGTTAATGCACGTTGTTCCGAACGTCCTTGTTACGCCTTTTGTGACAGACCAAGAGAAACCTAGTCTGACCCCGACGCAACCCCAATCAAACGAACGAGAAATTTAGGAAAGCACCAAACCATCGGTGTAGTTTGTTGTAAGGGCTTATCACTCGATAGAGAAAACACGGACATACTTGTGATCAAGCAACTCCCGGGTTCCGAAGTAAATTTAACGACTACGTTACGCAAAGGGAGGGGGACCTCAAACAACCAAACACAGAAACGTTTCGGCTGGTCCACAACTCACCCAGCACCGAGTAAGTGAAGAGAGAGATCATAGACCTGACTACGACGTAGCATACAGCATAAGTCGCACACGTGCTGTGCCAGGTTGGCCGGGTTGTCAACACCATTCGTCAAACTACCCAAGGCTGACTAGCTTGCCAACACCGTTCGCTAAACTACCCGTCGCTGTCAGTTTCAGAGCCGCTGTCGTTGTTCTGCACGAGCGGCATGGTGTCTTCGCCCTCATCCACGTCCTCCTCTTCCTCCTCCTCTTCCTCCTCCTCGTCTTCTTCCACCTCCTCCTCTTCCTCCGCGTTGTCGCCGTCGTCTGCTTGCACCCGTCTTTTCCCCGCTCTACCTGAATCGGAGTCCGAAGAGTCCGAGTCTGAATCCTCGTTTCCTTCGTTTCTCTCTGGCGGCTCTTCGTCCTCGCTCTCCTCCACCGCTATGTGTCAGAGAAAATGAAAAAGGAAACAAACAACCCGCAACATGTAAATTCAGCAACAAATAAGACGAGCAAAATTTCTTCCGGGTCAACAGGCATGTTTCCTGACACTTTCCACGTTGGACCTCTGTGGTAACGACTCCACCAGGCAAGTAATGAATCGAACTACCTCATCAGCGAGGAGCTCAACGACAGCAGCTGTTGTCCTTCGCCAAACGTGAGCAATGTGCGGTCAATGAAAATTATTGGTATGACTGTGCGACGGTATGGCATCTGTTAAGACCCTCTTTCCTCGGCTGATCCCATGCAAAACCAAATCGGCAAACACGCCAAGCAAGTGCTACGCGAACGAGGCGACAAGAAAGCGAGAAGTGAAAGCAAAGGTACAAAGAGTAATCGATTCTCCACGTGTGTACAATATACTTCCAAGCAGTGGAATTTTCGGAGACGACCAAAACTACGCCGTGGCTCAATCTGTTGATGGTTCTCACGCAAAACTGACGCAAGCAAAAAATACACACAACAAAAGCAATGTCAAGAAAAAACAACTTGTCAAGGCCGCAAATAGCCGACGGAATCTAAAGGAGAGACGACTATTCTGGTACAATAATCTGGTGCGCAAGCCTGACAGGCGTAGACGAACAAATCAAATCGGCGTCGAGCTCGTTGGTCTTGACAGCAGTTATCACACAAAAAGAAAGGTCATGTGTGCCAAATGTGAAAAAAGAAGCAAACAGACGCATCAAGAAACGAAAAAGAAAACCACATTTTCAAATATGGTTCGCTACTCACGTGCGACGAGCAGCTCTCCGTCGAGACTCCTGTTCTTCAGATTCCCCACCGAGATCGCCCCAAGGCAGTCGTTGGACTGAACCAAAGACTTCATCCTGTTGATATCAATGGATGCCGGAGGGCGTCACGGAAACAGCCGACATCCATGATGGCAGGATCGTTGAGTCGACACAGCGGTGTGCCCAGAAGTCAGCAGGTGGCGGAGTGGGTGACAGATGAAAAACTCCGCGCCGACCTTGTTCGTCGTTCTTGCACATGAACCAACGGCGGTGTTACCCAGTTACGTGTCTTGCTTGGCGTCAGCGTACTCTGCAGTTCGAGGGTCGTTACATCGCTTTGCATCAACATGTAGCACCCAGACACCCATTGACGACTCAGACCTAATAGATCACGCGAAGTAGAAAAACAGTCAAGGGGACCACACGCAGCGTTTTGCAGTCACGGGGGATATGTCTCATATCGCGAGTTTTTCTGTAATGGTAAACGTCAAGGAGTAAACAACTGTCAACCGACAACTTGTGTTGGACATGAAGGCGCCCCGATCAACGGCAAGCACGGACGCACGAAGGATACACTGCTATTTACTCATGTGCAACATCGGGGGGGGGGGG